TGGAGGGTGATGGGGGTCAATGCCTGAGGGCTCCCAGTATGTGAGAGGGGGCAGGCTGGGCTAAGGGACACTCCCGCCCCACCCAGTGCACGAATTTCGTGCACTGGGCCCCTAGTATAGATATAAAAGCCTAAGTGACTATTCAACCGTTCAACTGGTAGCTATGACATGCACTGACCACCAAGGGGCAGATGCTCAACACATAGGCATGGAAACATGGAACAGACTAATGAATCTCAGAGGGAAGTGGGGAGGGCGGGAAGAGATTAACCAAAGATCTTATATGCGTACTAGAGGCCCAGTGGCTTGTGAGGATTGGGCTGAAACTGGCCATCTGACATCCCCTGAAGAGTCCTGGATTGTGAGAGGGTGCAGGCCAGGCTGAGGGACCCCACCAGTGCATAAATCTGTGCACTGGGCCTCTAGTGATATACTAAACAGCTCCTGTCCAGAACTCCTAAAACTTTTGTAATTTCCTAAGCAATAAAAGTGCTAGGGGCAGCTTTTTGTTCTAAAGTTTAGCCTCTGACCATGTTTTCTGAGGCAGAGCTCCTAAATCCCTTGAATTTCCTGGGTGATTGGAGTACTTTTTGTCCTAATGAGGCAACTCTTGGTGGGCTTCTGGGTAGCCTCAGGATGTGGTTGGTCACCAGAAAGAACAAGCCTTGATTAGAAGCTTGAAACTTTCCACCCTACCTTCTATCTTCCAGGGCGGGGAGAGGAGAGAGACTGAGTTAACTGTCAGTCATGACCATGCCTATGTGATGAAGTCTCTCTTTGGAAAGCTTCCAGGTTGGTGAACACATACACCCAAATCCATTGGCACAGAAGCTCCTGCACTCAGGACCCACACTTCACCCTGTGAATCTCTTCAACTAGCTGTTTATCTGTATCCTTTGTCATATCCTTTACTATATAAGAAACCAGTAAACGTGTTTCTCTGAGTTCTGGAAGCAATTTTAAATTATTGAACCTGTTGAGGGGTTCAGAGGAGAAGCACAGTCTGAGACTTGCAATTGCCATCTGAAGTGGGGACAGTCTTGTGGGACTTAGCCCTTAACTTGTGGGATCTGATGCTAACTCCAGGTAGATAGTATCGGAACTGAATTGAATGACCACAGCTGTGTCAGAGAATTGGTTAGTATGGCAAAAACTAAACAAAACCTGTGTCTGGTCCCAGAAGTATTCTGTATGAGTAGTAAAGGAGAAAAACAAGTCTTTCCTTACACTACCCTTGGAGGGGTGGCTGTGGTGGGGGGAGGGGAGGTTGTAGGGTAGTTTCTAAGGGGACACAAACCTGGATCCCTTTCCATTCTCCCACTTGAGGACATTTCCTGGAGAAAAGCTCAGCTGGTCCCTAAAAATAGTTGATATTTAGACAGGGGAGAGGAAGGTAAGTGGATGAGGGAAATAGTAAATATTTACTAAATGCCTATGGTGTGCTGGTAACTGTTAGTGCCAGAAATAAACAGTGAGCAAAACAGACCCTACTCCTGCCCCTGTGTAGCTTACAATCTAGTGGGAGAGACAGGCACAAATAAATAACCACCTATTCACATGTGTACTACAATCTGCAATAGGTTTTATGAAGTAAAGGTATAGGCTAATAATGAGTTTATGTGTGGGGAAGGGTTCTGATCCAACCTAGTGTGAAGAGACGCCACTCCAAAGGGGCATCTGAATTTGAAGGATACTAGGAGTTAACTAGGTGATAAGGGCATGAGCTAAGAGCATACCAGGAAGAAGGAACATCTGGTGCAAAGGCCCTGAGGCAGGAGGAATAAGGGAAATCTGAGGAACTGAAAAGCCACTAGGAGGACTGGAATGCATGGGGTGGGCAAAAGAAGGGGTGGGACCAAGAGGCCAAATTAAGAATTTGGGCCTTTATGTAAAATAATTTAAGGATTTTCAACATAAAGTTTCATAACAATTTTGTCCCCTTTATTTATTTTATTTTATTTTTTTAAAATATATTTTATTGAGTTTTTACAGAGAGGAAGAGAGAGAGATAGTTAGAAACATCGATCAGCTGCCTCCTGCACATCCCCCACTGGGGAAGTGCCCACAACCCAGGTACATGCCCTTGACCGGAATCAAACCCGGGACCTTTCAGTCCGCAGGTCGACGCTCTATCCACTGAGCCAAACCGGTTTCGGCTGTCCCCTTTAAATAGATCTCTGGTTACAACATGAACAAAAGACCAATGAGCAGCCCTGTACTAGTCCAGAGCAAGGAATGGTAGCGGCTGGATTCGGTGGTAGCAGAGATGAAAAAGCCAGAGAGGAGAATACATAGTTTGTGAGGAGTGCAGCCACCTCCCCCATGGCTGATGGCTGTATTGCTGAACTTCTTCATTCACTTAACAAATGCTTGATGCTCAGGTTTAAGTCCCAGCTTAGGCCCTAAACCTGTCTGGGCATCAAGGGGCAAGGCCTAAAAGAAACAGAGCTCAGCTAGTGTGGAGGACAGCTGCGCGGCTGGTTCTTCAGAAGAGAACCCCTCCGCGGCCCTACCACTAGAGCACTCCCGCGCAGAAGCAGGCTCACATTCCATCTCTTCCCCGGTCTGCACCAGGTGTGCTTCCCAACTTGCCCTCCAGGGAAATGAAAGAGTTAAGTTTCCGGCTCCCCTTACGGGAGTTTACTTGGAAAGTTTACGGGAGTTTCCAACACAAATCTTGATGCTGTCAGACAGAGAAGCCGCGGGGCACGGCCCCGACACCCCAAGCCTGGCTCCCTTTTTCCTGGACGCCCGCCGACCCGGAAGCACGGGTACCAGGAAGAAGCAGAAGGCAGAGGAGTGCCGGGCAGGAGGGCGGAGCGGACCTCTGTTACGTGCAGGATCACGCCCCTTGGGGAGGGCGCTACGCCTGCGCCGGAACGGCCGTCTCGCTCCCGGAAGTGGAGGGTGTGTCAGAGAGAGCCGCTGGGTCTCGGTGCCCGGAGGCAGAAGCGCTCGCAAAGCTCGCCCGTCAGCCCCCGACTGCCATGTCAGCCTTTGACACCAACCCCTTCGCGGACCCAATGGACGTAAACCCCTTCCAGGTAGAGCTTCCAACACATCGCTCGCTCCAGTGCCGAAGGCCGCCGCCGGGGCCTTTTCCCCAGTGCCAGGAGACGTGGCGGGGGAGGGACGGGCCGACTGTCCAATGGGAGAGCGGGCTCTCCAGGCTGGCCTGTCGTAGCTTGTGTGGGGCGGCACCAGCAGCAGGTGGAAGACTGGGCGCTGGTAGCCTGGGAAGAGGTGGGACCCTCTAACTGCCCAGACAAAGCCCCTCTGACCGGGTGCCCCGGGGAAAGGGACTGGAGCAGACTGGAGGTTCCCCGGGTATCAGAGTAATGGCTTCACCTACCACAGGTGCTCGGTGAACTGTGACTACCACAATCCTGCAGTCTTGGTTTGAGTGAGTCACGTTAGGAGAGGGGTGACAGCAGCATAATGAAGAGATGGAAGGCTTAGTGGGATGGAGAAATGTGGAGATCCCAAGACAACCCCGTCTCCTCTCCCCCAACAGCCAAACTAGCGTTTAAGGTATAAGAGGACCCCAGAGATTTGTCAGGAAAGGAAAGCTAGGGAGAGAGTGAGAAGCTGAAATATGGCCTTGATAAGAATGATACACTTTGGCCCGGCCAGTGTTGCTCAGTGGTTGACCATAGGACCCAGTACCAGGAGGTCACCGGTTCCGTTCTCTTTGGGGCGCATGCCTGGCCTGCGGGCTCCATCCCCGGTGGGGGGCAGTCAGGAGGCAGCCCACCAATGTTGATGTTTCTCTCTCATCCATGTGTCTATCTCTCTATCCCTCTCCCTCTCTCTCTCACATCTCTAAAAAGATTTAAACAATAAAAACATTTTTAAAAAAGTACACACTTTGGCCAAGAGTCTGCTTTGGACTGGATTGGCTAGATAGGAGAGCCCAGGTTAGGGAGGGAAGAGAAGTGAGAGAGCTCTGAGGGTCTTGATGTTGGTCTGATGGACCTGTAGGTGGTGGCAGGGTAGTTGAGATGCAGTGACCTATGAGTAGACCTCACATTTTAATCAAACGATGGAGGAAGAAAGAGTCTTCCTACTTAAAGCCAAAACTTTTCCGCCTTTGAGCTAAGGTGATAGGGGCTCTCTTTTTCCATGATGAAATGCTGGGACTCCTGTTAGTGCCCAAGCTCCTGTGCCTCTTGTTTCACGTCTGCTTAAAACCAGTTCTAGGAAACCTTACTAGTGTTCACTGGTGATTTATGAGCCCTGAGGTTTCTGCTCTGTGAGGATGTCACCAGGCACATTATTAATTCATCCTGCTTGGACTTTGGTAGTTGTCAGCTTCATAGTTTCTTGCAGGTGTAGGGGAAGTTTTTGGAGGGGTCCTTCCTGCAACTAACAGCATGAACTTTCTCACCTTGAATCTCTTCAAGGACCAAAGCCAACCCAAAAGAGACTAGAACAAATTTACTATACGTTGTCAGGAAACTCAACATTTTATGCTTCTTCCATGGTCTCAAGGTACCTTAGCTAATGGGGACCCTCAAGGCAATTTGTTAACGTGTTCTTTGTAACATCAGGGAGTTCTTGTATCTTAATACTTCCTGACAGGACCGTTAGCAGGACCTTGTCTCTTAGGTGATTCAGTCATCTCTGTTAGTTGAGTAAAGAAAGAGCATTTGGCCCTAGCCGGTTTGGTTCAGTGGATAGAGCATCAGCCTGGGCACCAAAGAGTCGCAGGTTTGATTCAGGGGCGGGGCTCATGAGGAGGCAACCAATCGATGTGTTTCTAAACACATCGATGTTTCTCTCTGTCTTTCCTTCTCTCTCCTACTCGACCTAAAAAATCAATGGAAAAATATCCTCAGTAAGGAGTAACAAAAAACACAAACAAACAAAAAAGAATATTTGCATTTTATTTGCCAATGTCTTCTGGTAACTGTTTTTGCTTTAATTACAAAACTGCTGTATAATACTGGAGTTTGAGTTTTCATAAGGATCTAGTAGGCTTTTGGTGTGTGTGCTGTGTAATCATTAGCTTTTTTTTGTCCTGTCAGAAACAGAAATATCTGTTGCTATCTGACAGAGGTGGTCAGCTTGTCCCCACGGCTAGTAGTGGGCAAGATAGTTGGCCTGAGTTCAGCTTTGTATTAGTACTAGCTTGAAAGTATTAAAGTACATCTTCACCTCCAGAAATGATTGTGCAAACTGTGGTAGAAGAAACTTCTGCATTCAAGCAAGACAATCTGTCCATCAGGCAATCCCAGAATATTGCAGGTTGGAAACAGCTGTGGGCCTATGAAGAGCAACATCTGGTTGGGGAATCCTTTGAAGGAAGAAGAGAGTTGGCTGACTATGATTCTTCTTCATACTCTGGGCTGGTTTCCCTCTTGGTGCACAGTTGTGTGGGGAGAAGGAGCTTTGGAAGTGAGGCCCCCAAGCTCCTTCTGGAGCTGCTCTCCCTCTCCTTGTAATGGCAGCATCTGGTTCCCTGACTGCCAGGGCTGGGACAGTGGAGGGTGCAAGCCTTTGGGTGACAGGGTGTGAACCTAGCCTCATTACCCATGGTGTTGGCACAGAACTCAGGGAGGTGAAGGCCAGCCTTCAAAACAGAGTCCTTTGTTTCTATCACCTGATGGTGGGTTGTGAAAATATATTTAGCATCCAGAGTCCATGGTGGACTGTTAAAGCTGGGAATATCTCAGAAGTCTGTTCTAACCCCTTCAGTTAGAGATGAGAAAAACAAGAACCCAATGAGGATGGGACATGCCTGAGTCACTGGATAATTTGCAGCAAGAAGGAGCCCAGACCTGGATCTCACTCCCAGAACAGTGTTTTTTTTTAAAGGTTTTTAAGCTCAGATATTGTCTTAAACTGCTCTGGAGTTATTTAGCCAGCCAAGGAAAAAAATGTTATGTCATCATCACCACCACCATCCTTAAAATGAGAGTGCTGCCTGGCTGGTGTTGCTCAGTGGTTGAGCATTGATCTATGAACCAAGAGTTCCCTGGTTTGATTCCCGGTCATGTGCCCTGCCCAAGTTTTGGGCTCAATCCCCAGTAGGGGGCGTACAGGAGGCAGCCGATTGCTGTTTCTCATCAATGTTTCTGTCTCTCTATCCCTTTCCCTTCCTCTCTAAAATCAATGAAAAAAAACATTTTAAAAAATGAGAGTACTGCCGAAACCGGTTTGGCTCAGTGGATAGAGCGTCGGCCTGCGGACTGAAAGGTCCCAGGTTCGATTCCGGTCAAGGGCATGTACCTGGGTTGTGGGCACATCCCCAGTAGGAGATGTGCAAGAGGCAGCTGATCGATGTTTCTCTCTCATCAATGTTTCTAACTCTCTCTCTCCCTTCCTCTCTGTAAAAAATCAATAAAATATATTTTAAAAAGAAAATGAGAGTACTGATAGGGGTGAAAGTAACAAATTAGCATTAGCAGAGCTATTTTTTTCCCCCAGTGTGTGGGGCTGGAATAATTGCCTTATGCTTTAAAAAAAAAATAGATTTTTTTAAATTGATTTCAGAGAGGAAGGGAGAAGGAGAGAGAGATAGAAACATCAATGATGAGAGAGAATCATTGATCAGCCATCTCCTGCACGCCCCACATTGAGCTGGCAACCCGGGAATTGAACTGTGACCTCTTGGTTCATAGGTTGACACTCAACCATGCCAGCTGGGCAAGACAGTACTTTTAAAGTAGTGTATGGTCTGAGTAATAAGTTTTTGGGAATCACTACATATTTCTTTTTTTTGAAGATTGATAAGGCTTGTTAATTTGTTAAAGGCTCTGAGAAATCCTTCAGTAAAGATATTTACTCAACTTTGACCCAACATTTCTCAAAGTTAATAAACCACGGAATCCTTTTTCTGCTAACTTTTGTAATATTTCATGAAACTTCCAGTTCTCCTTTAAGTTCTCTCTCTCTCTCTCTCTCTCTCTCCCTGGTTCATAGGTCGATGCTCAACCACTGAGCCATGCCAGCCAGACCTTACCCATGTTCTTTATCCACCTCCACTCCCACCCCTGCCCCACACTGTGGGCGTGGCCTTTTATGACCTCTTCCTTGTGCATGGTATAGTTATAATTGGAATTATTAGAAAACTTCTTGCAAAGTAAGAGCTGCGAAAGAAAAGTTGTCACAAGAGTGCAGCTGAGGGTTTACTAAACTTGTAGGAGGAAGCAGGAAACTGCAAGCCAAGTGTTGCTGATTTCACAACCTCCAGTGGCACTCCCTAACCCCTCTATTAACAATGGTGCATCTGCTTTGTACTCTCTGGAGATGCTTGTCTTGCTTTGGACTGATTCCAGTATATCTGCTCCTAAAAGTTTCTCAGTCTTGTCATGGTAATGAGGAGGTAAAGGGCTAAAAAGGTAGGCATTGTACTGTTCATTTGATTTTTCAGCAGTCCACTAACAAGCAGGTCACTCAGGCACATGCCAGTGTTGCTTTCCTCCTTGGTATTTCTGCCAGGTTACCCCGGTGGCCCGCATTGATCTGAAGAAGGGGATTGGACCAGCTGGTGGTACTGAAGCAGTGGTTCTCAACCTTCCTAATGCTGCGACCCTTTAATACAGTTCCTCATGTTGTGGTGACCCCAACCATAAAATTATTTTCATTGCTACTTCATAACTATAATTTTGCTACTGTTAAGAATCGTAATGTAAATATCTGACATGCAGGATGTATTTTTATTGTTCGCAACCCACAGGTTGAGAACCGCTGGAATAGAGAAAGCCTTTAGGTCTTCATGAGTTTCCAAATCACACAATTTATCACTTTCACATGTTGCCTCTGCAGTTAAAAGATAATCTCAGTGGTGTGGCTGCTTCCTGAGGATTTAAAACATTTCTCTCCTGTGGGAGGAAAAAGTGGTGACAGAAATGTGATTTGGGTGTAAACAAAGTTATATGAGGTTCTCTGCACAGACACTGATGGTTTTGCTGCTTTCCAGAGAGGGTAGGGTCCAGCTTGACTCTAACTTTGGGAATTTCAAAACCACCAAATGGACCTGGTAGGAGTTTCCCATGGGAAAGGAGAATTATCTCAAGAAATTTATCTTATACATTTAGAA